GGTGCCATCACTTTCCACGAGTTCGTCCGCGGGTTTCGCGGCGCCACGCAACCGCAGAGGCGGCGGAGCGACCGCGGGGAACTCCCCGAAGAGGGGGGCGACGCGTCTGTTGCCTTCGCCGGGGTGGCGGCGGCGGGATCTGCGGTGGGTCCCAGCCAGGCCTGGCGGGAATTTGAGCTCCGGCTCGGGGAGGAGGCGGGGTACATTCCCAGGTAAGTCGCCATTGATCCTCCGAGGGGGAAAGGGCGCGCCGTAACCAGCCCCAGAAGTTTAGCCCTTGCTTTCTGATTCAGGTGAAAGTGTTTCTGAGTAAGTTCCGCCTTTTATTTTCCGAACAAGATAGGCCTGTTAACAAATCATTTTAGCAAACTAAAGCAGTGTATTCGGATTGGATGTAGGTTGCACCTGTTGAACTTCTATCAGGAAAGTATTACTTCAGGGGTACACAAGGTCCAGCGCGGGCAACATTTGACTATATGATTACCCGCTGTTATTTATTTCAGGGTTCTTTTCATCTATTTGAGGTTTATGTATTTTATTATTTTCACTGTTTGTAATATTTCTTGAGATGAGCACCCACCACCTTCTCTACAAGGAACTGAAGTCACTGTTTACCCTCTTTTATCTCTACAATGACTGAGGTAGAATAGACAGAGCGTGTGTGTGTGTGTGTGGCTTTGTTGGCATTTAAGCTGAGCCTCTCCAGGTTTTAGGCAGTTGCCAGTCTTGCTGGCTTTCCAGTGAAGCAGAGAAGGGCCAAGAATATAGTTTCTAAGCAACAGCTGCAGTTTCAGTTTAAGTGGGAATAATGTATTGCAGTTTTATCTTATGCCTGCCTATGTTATAGCATAGTTTTTGTTTAAAGAATAAACTTTTTTGTAACAATGCCCATCCCCTCCTTCTCTTCCATCATGCTCCCCCCCCTTGAAGATCATCTGTAGAAGTGGCATATGGTAGCATCCCTAAAGAGAGGAAGGCTAGAGAGGACAACAGATTAATGACAGAGGAATTTTTGTTTTTGTTTTATTGATGCAGCGCATACCTTTGAAAATTCTCATACTGCAAGCCTGCAAGGTGCCACGTTGCTTCTAATCTTTTCTTGCTACTGCAAGTAATAGGGCTGCTCTGCTCAGATTTCAGGTCTTTTCTTATGGCTTTAGGAGAATCCCACTTTCTGTGTTTTCTCTCTTAGTACTGCTTACACCAGCTGATCATTTTTCAGTCTTCAAGTTTTGTGAAAGTCTGTCAAACACATTTCCAAGCTAATATACTTCTTATGCCCATTGTGACTCTTCATACAGACAGCTGTTCCTGTGCAATGAAAAGCAGAGACAAACAAAAAAAATAAGTCAAGTGAATTTAATCAAGTGATTCCTGTTTGGTGTCAGTTTTTTGGTGTATTCAGAATTCTTTTTATAGTTAAAATGTAAAAAGGTTGCTACCTGGCTGTTTGAAGATACATGTGTAAGTTTACACCTATATGGTTATAGGTATAATAATTATCTGGTGTTGGGTTTTCTATCATGGCTCTCTGAGCTGTATCCTGAATGTCCAAATAGCAAGTCTTCTTCACTGGAATATGAGAACAAGCTAAGCCAATGACACACCGTGCCTGTTTTTTGACATGCTATTTCCCATGGTAGTAGCACAGTATCAGGAATACTGCCAATGAAAACAACATAGATTTCCCATGCAAGGTTATAGTTCTTTTGGAGAGCAGGTTATCAAAGGATGTTTTATCATTAGGAACTTTCAAAACAAGATTCAGAACATCCAAAGATTCTGTTCAGGCTATTACTTTGTCTTCTTTCATATCTAGCCAAGTACATTAGATTTCATGCAATTTGAATTGAATTCTTGACAGCCTCAATTAGGGTGCTCAGGTATGCGGGAGGAGTACACACATATGGCCAGCAGACCATGGTTTGAGCATCCATGAAGTAGATGAAACAGTGGTCAGTTGAGTTATTATCATATTGTATGCATGCATATTTCTATAGTTTTGATATAGCATTATAGCATCATTCAAACATTTTTTGACAGAAAGCATTTTGTTTAATTTGGCACAAGTCATAAAATTATTTTTTCTACTTTTCACATGTTCATTGTTAATGATTACTTTTGTTATTAATAAATTTGTATAAATGAAAATGGATCCTTTGGTCCTGATATTTAAGATAAACTTTTGATTTTAGAATCAGGAAACTTGTTATTTTTAACCTAATTAGATTTATGAAATGAAGTCAAGAGCTGCCTGTGTTTTTCAAAGTAGATTGCTTTAAGTGTGGTGCTTTAATGCTACTGTCAGGGCTGATAACCGGCTTAGGTTGCAGGAAGCTTTTTCCTCATTTCTCTAAACTGGGAAGTTTCTTTTGCAGAATGAGCCTTTCAGCATGAAAAAAACTTGGGAAAAAAATCTCTCCTTCTTTTAGCTAAAAGGGAATTAAAATATTGAATTTTCAGACAAATGGAAATTATATTTGATTCTTCAGAAATTAGGGCAGAACATTAATTAATAGGTTGCTCGATGGGGTCTCTTACCTTAACCCATGTCACAAATCCTTGTGTTTTGGATACCCTAGGAATCTGACATGTAAGACTTTAGATAGCTAATCTTCAAATAAAAGATGAAATGGATGCACAACACCTGAAATCCCCCTCCCAAAAAATAATGCTATGTTTTAAGAACAGTGTGCAGCCCTAAATTAGCACCCAAATCTAGAGGTGCTAATTACAATCACTGTAGAGGTTGTGATGTTTTAAATGTTATCCAAACACAGAAATATTATATAGAAGACATGGTAAGGTATGGTTTGTTTTAACTATGATTTATTGTATAAACCACAGTTATATGGATTCCCACAATATGCTAAACCAAGCCATTATGTCTTAGCCCAATTTGTGAATCCAGTCTCTAGGAACAAATTAAATACTTCAAGTAGCCTAATACATGTAAGTTATTTAATAATATCCTATACAATTTAAAAGTAAATAGCATTTCTCCCAGATCATTTACAGATAGTGACAACAGCAGTATGTGACTAGTGCAAATTTTCTTCTGAGCAATCCTGTTATCTATCTATCCTTTTGTTTCTCTGTTTTTAAAAAGGGCTATTTTAGTCTTGGCAAGTTAGCAAAGTAGGAGAAGGGAATGGAAAGTCAGTGGATGAGGTCAATGAGATTATAGATTTCTGGATATTACTAGAGGGAAGTTGAGAAGGTGAGCTTTTGTTTCTATGCAGTTATCAAGAATTGAACTTGATGTCACCTATTTAAGCTCAGTCTTAGGACATAATGGCTGGGAATTCTGGAAGTTGTAAACTCAGTACATCTGAAAGGTACCAGTTGAGGCATATTTGGGTAAAAGCTTGTTAAAATATAAATCTAAACTTTCAGGAAGGAGTTCCCTGTTCATTTCTTTCGCCATATATAATGCAATTTAGACTAAGACAATAATCTTTCTACTGGCTTTTCTTCAACTTAGTTACTAGGTTGCTGATCTCCCTGTCTGGGTTCTATATGCACACTGATCTTCTAAAGTCAGTACTATCTATCATACCAGAACAAGTCCTGATAGGGGTAACAACAGGCATTTGGTGGGTAGGTAATTCAAATAGGCAATACAAACTCATTCTGATCCCTAACACATCACATGTCAAATTGTATTTTGCTCACAAATCAAGGCAGAATGCTACTTATGCTGTTTTTCTTAGCACTGCTTCTCATTCTTCTAGTTTAAATTAGGGCTGAAGTAATAGCATTGACCTGACCCAATTGGGGCTTTAACGAAGTTGATGGGAAGTTACAAGAGCTCTGTGGATTATAACCTTGAGGACTTCAGATGTGTTGGATTGCACATTTTAGCCAGCTTCAGCCACATGGTTAGTGATGAGGATGCTGGAAATTATAGGTCAGCAGCAAAGTGTACTTTCTTTTAACTTACACTTTATAGAGTTGACCACAGAGGTATAGCTGAATAGGTATGTATGTGGTCCAGTATCCTGTTTTAGAAGAGCTGCATAGGTAGTGGAATGAGGTTTGTGCAGGAAGAGTTTGTGTAAGAATCTGCCTTTCTTATCTTAGTACCATGGAGACAGTGTTTGTTCTAACACTCTGAATGTAGTCCAGCTACTTTGGTTTAATAAGACAGGAGAATGAATTTGCAATTGCTTTGTTTGGCATAAGTATACAGACATAATGCGTCTGAATTGTGAATAGCGTCCTCATGTATTGTTTCCAACAGAATGCTATTCAGAACAAAATAGATATGATCACCAAAGAATAAGGCAAAATTAACTGCTTATTGAAAAACCAAATTTTGTTAGATAAGTTTTGAATATAAGTTTTAGATGTTCCTCTACTTTAAGAATGTTTTAAATTTAGACTTTAAAAAATTACCTCTTCCTTGCTGATATTTCAGTTAATGAGTGGATGCTAGGCAGCAGAATCAAGATGTGTATCGGTATTATCTATCTATTTAGGAATTACAGTATATATCCTGCCTTTCATTCAGGAGCTCAAAGTGGTATACATAGCATTCCTTCCTCCTAATTTTTCCCACAGCAACAATACCAGGAATCAGGTTGTGTTGACTAGCTGATGGTTACCCAGTGAGCTTTTGTAGCTGAGGATGAATTAGAACTTGGGTCTCCTCATTCTTAGTCCAACACTGACTGCCTTTCACTGTTAGGGGTGATGGCCTTGTGAATAGCAGTATGTTTACTAAATTAAAAGCTTTTTGATAGATTAATTTTTCAAAAACAAAGCCATAGTGAAAGAAAGTTATATGGCAGGAATGGGAAACACAGCACAGTCCAGTTGGTTTGAAGCAACAGTACCAGAATATATGACCATTGGCTGTCTTGAATAAGGCTTATTGGAGGTATAGTTAAAAGTATCTGGATGGCATCAGGTTGCAACCTCTGCATAAATGTTGACCCTGAGGTTTGGCATCTCTGCTATATTGAGATATAAAAAGTCATACAGGTAGTCCTCAAGTTATGATGGTAATAGGGACCGGAATTTCCACTGCTAAGCAAAGGGGTTGTAAAGCATGACATCACATGACCACATTGCGTAGTGATGGCAATCTTGGCAGTCCCTGTTGCTGTCGTTAACTGAATCCCACCGGCCATTAGGCGAGAACCCACCCTGATCCAAACTATTTCCAGCTTGGTCCCTCCCAGCCCCAAGCCTCGATAAGGTAAGGAACTGCCTCCTCTTCACCTACCCTCACCTGCCTATCTCCCCCCCCCGCCCTTTTGGCCTCCCTGCACAGCGGCATTCCTCAGCGATGATGGTGCTGAGGCTGAAGTAGGGGCCCAAGGGCGGTGGTGGCCAGCTGAGATTGCTGAAGGCCCCAGGCTCCTTCAGCCCCAGTGCTGGTGCCACCAAGGAGTGCCGCTGCACAGGATGACTAAAAGGGCAGAGATGGGGGGAGACCACACAGACAGATCTTCTCCAGGATGATCTGTCCTCAACATGCCCCTTTAGTTACATATAAAATTATATCTAGTTTTCTTGCCCTTGAGGTAGAATCTAGGCCCAACACATAATGTGCAGCAGAGTGGTTAAACCAGTTTGAGGATGATTTATACCAGCCTTTCCAAATTACTGTCTTGCAGATATGTTGGACTAGAGCTTCTATAGTTCCTATCTGAATTCTGGGAACTGTACTCCAACACCCTTGGAGAATATGAGGTTGGGAAACCCAGATGTTAAGAATTTAGATTTGTAGAGGTTGGTTGCAACAGAAATTAGGACAAAGTAATTTGGAAATGTGCTTTATTAAAAAGGAAAAAAAAATAGCTGTTTGAATTCTCATAATCAACATGTTCACAAGTCATGAAATTTGACATCAAGATTAAAGAGACAACTTGCAAACACCACCCCTATATGGGATGCTGTTTTCATAACAAGGGTAATAGTGAAAAGAAGTAAGGTGACAGGTTATTTCAGAGGAACTTTGAAAAATTGAACTGAGCATCCTTCCCAGAACTGGTGCTGCAAGATATGTTGGAGTATAGCTTAGTTCCAGCCAGCATGAATTATCATCCAACCCACATGCACCGGTGACCAAGTTGCAAAAACTGGGATAGAAGACTTACTTCCATCTGTCCCCCTTCATGATTTACTAATATGCTCTGTACATACAATGTGTATGTGGCTACAATTTGTTCAAAATCAAACAATGTAGTTTTTTCTTTTTTCTTTTAAATGGCTTTGGGGGCAGGGATGATGTGATGATTTGCCAACATTGTTGCATACTTGCTGTATCTGTATTCAGGTGAGCATCCCTGTAGTCATCCTTCATTCAAAAAACAAACAAACAAACAACCCAAAACATCTCCCCATCCTTAGGGCTCCTTATGTTTTTCTAGGGAATTGTTTTGTTCTGTTTGCCCTAAATTTGATTTCTCACTTCTTGCACCTGACTGGTTTTGTGTAAATGTAGGCCACAGAAAGCTCCTGAATGGAGTTGTTAATTGGGCCAGTGAGAAAAAACAAAACCATATTGTGGTTTTGAGATCAAATAACCTGAGCAAACTTTGCAGTCACCACTGTATGTTTACGACAGCAGCAGGAGCTTTTCCAACAGAGCTCAGAAGGCCTAGATGGAAAAGCTCAGTGGAGGGAATCATATCTTTCAGCTTTCCTTCATTCAGGTTTCTGGTGTGTTTAATCTTCTGGAGCTGAAAAACCCACAAGAACAGCAGCTGTGAGATAGTTCAGAAAAAAACAATAGGTAGCATTGTCAAAATCTAGTGCAATGCTGTTAGGTCTCCTAAGGATTTAGTTTTAGAACTCAGCTGTTCTTAAACCCTAGTTTGGGGTGACATGCAAACCTGGTCCAAATGTCCCTATTATCTTGATTCATTTATGAATTGTGCATTGGAAATAGGGCTGCTGACAGACTCCCCTGGTTGTTAGCCATTGTAGTTTATCTGAAATGCAACACTAATATCATATAGACTTTGGTAATTTAAGATGGTGAACAGAATGAATTAAATACTTTTAAATGTTTTTTGTCCACCATAAATGCTATTTAACATAATTATTATTATTATTATAATTCCACTATAACTTATTATTATTGTGAATTTTCAGTCTGCTTATTATATTTGTGCTTTAAATAGAATTGTCCTAGATTGTACTACTTGCATTGTCATGGTTCCTTCAGCCCACCATAAACATTGTATTTTTTCTTTCTTTCTGTCAACTGAGGATAACATTTTATGCATTGAATGAATTGACCCTTGTCCTTGAAAAGCCTTATGCAGTAAATAATTTACTAGATTTAGAAACTGGTATGATAAATGTACTGGTTCCAGGCTGCATGTGGTTCCCACAAGCTTTGTTTTTAAGATCTTCTGGAGTCCCTTCCAAACTCCATAGCCCAAAATCAGTGATTTACTTTCTACCATTTTAAGACAGGGCTTAGCCCTAAAGTAGATTTAAATTTAACGAACATCAAAACAAAGAACATGTCACCCCAGTCCATAGAAAATCCTGCCTCCATTCACATGTGTGACATATTTCTACTTGCTTCATAGGAACTGTATTGCCCATTGCAGCCTTTGACTCCCCCTTTCTGTTAGCATCTATTTATAAAAGTTTCTCCAGTACTGTGTATGTGTGTGTGTGTGTGTGTGTGTTTATACAGTGGTTTTAAATATAACCCATGTGCTTGGGGAAAGAGATTTTGAGTTTAAATCTCCGGAGGTGTGTTGATTCCAGGGTAGATCAGATCACAGTCTTTACACCAAAATAAAGCATATAAATATGTAATATGTCTGTTATTTTGTCACCTCAGTTTGATTGCTCTTGCTCATGAACTAATTGACCCATTTTTTAAAAGTATATTTGTAAAATCTTAATAAAAAGTCTCTTCCATCTATCCATTTTTACATGACATCACCATGTAAGATATATAATTATTTCTGAATAAACCTGCAAAAAGTTTAATATTTGATTTCTCCCCCCCCCCCCATTTCTAGGCAAGAGCAGGTCAGCATTCTGTATCAGAACATCAATATAGTGGAACCACGATTAATTCAACCATATGAAAATGTTATTAAGAACTTCATTAGAGAGATCAAGCTGCAGAGTACAGAAATGGAGAACTTGGCCATAGCTGTAAAAAGGTAGAGTTAACTGAGTTTTTACTTCATAATGAAATTATATTAGTGTATAATATTCAGATCTCAAGTGGGCAAGCATCCTCCAGATCTGTGGACAGCTTCTCTATATCTGCATCATGTAGAGAAAGGGTGCCCACCCCAGATCCAGAGCACTCTTATCCATTTTGGATTCAAATACTTCAGTTTTCATCAGTCCCAGCCAACGGAGCTCTTGGGAAGAGATTGGGGGAATTGCAGTCCAAGGTATCTGAATTTGTTTATCATTCTTTAAATACTCAATAAATCATGTGGGTGAAGAACAAATAGTTAACGTTTATAGACTGTTTTATTAAATGTGGATCTGAATTATAAACAGTATGCTATCTTGACCCATACAAATGTTTGAATATGCTTGAAGCTTTTGTTGTTTGTTTTATGGTTTGGGAACATCCATTATTTTCTGAAACAACATTTTCAGATCTGGAATCTCTGACTTTGAGATATCTGATCATAAGGAACAAGAGGCTGAGGGGAAGAGAAGAAAGAATTCAGTGGGAAATGTATTACTACATAGAAATTAGGAACTTGGTTTATTAATGGAAAAAAACCCTATTTTCTCAGGTTATCTCAACATAGGCACAAATTAAGCTGTAGCTTCCTAAATACTTAGACAAACAGAGATAGGAACTAAATTTTTATCATAGTTTTGGAATGGCAAGCATAGCAGCTGAGCTGGCACAGCACTGATACCCAATCTTATTTCAAAACCTGTGCAGCCTTTTCCCACTTCTATACTTATGCAGAGAAGTCTCAGCCTTCCTCTTCTCATGCTCCTAAGTCTTATCCATTGAAGACAGTTGCTTGTTTACATTCCCCACATTCCTTCTGAGACAATTCCTCCTTCCAGGATGATATTCTGATGCCACTAACAGAGCCTGGTCACCATATTACTAGCGGAGGTATTTCTGTAATAGCACTTCATCTTAATGGATAAGATGTGAATAATGCTGTTATGTGCATTCTGTCTGTTTTTTCTTCCTTCTCCCAACATTCAGCATTCTAAGCCAATCTGGGCTACGTTTTTCCCCCTACATCTTGTTTTTCAATTTTGGCTGCAGACTTATTGGTATTCTCCAGTGAATTATGCTATAGAAGGGAATGAGGTAGGATATATAATCTTTGGAGCTATCATATTATTGTAATAGTTCATTTACATCCACAGCAGTTTCACCCTGAGAGATTTAGAGCCTAGCATTGCAAGGTCATTTCCTTGCTGCTGGGAGGAATAGAAAAACTTCTGTTCAGAGTTGTATGGAGACTACCAGTCCCTACAGTTCAGCATTTATGATTGTCCAGCACTGAATATCTTTGATGAATAGGGTAACTGGGTATGAAAAGCAATTAACATGTCCCTTTTAGGTATGTAATGTCATGTTTGCTAGACAGAGGGTCCGTTGATGACTTAAAGATGGGGATAAAGTCTGTTCACCTTTCTTCTGATTCCTGGCTTGAAACATATTGGCCCAATTATTTTTAACATCAATTTATGTGAATGTTCATTTTTATAGAGCACAAGATAAAGCAGCTATGCAGCTTGGAGAACTAGAAGAGGAGATGGAGCAGCGCATACAGGCTACAGAACATAAAATCAAGAAGGAGGTGACTAATACTTATAATGCTATGATTGCTTCCATCAACAAAATAAGTAAAATAATTCCAAATTCTGTGCTTCAGATTTGATGTATGAAACATTTCTCTAATTCTGTAATTAACATTTCAGGTAGTCCCTGGTTTAAGAACGCCCAGTTTAAGGATGACCCATAGTTAAGTACGGAGCCTATTGCAGCAAAATTTGAGTTAAATACACAATGATTCAAGTTAAATACACAGTTCAAATTAATTACACAATACTACTTATACAGTGTTGTACAATAATACTGTTCTGGCTTACATACAAATTCGACTTAAAGACAGACTTTGGGAACAGAACTCGTTCTTAAACTGGGGACTACCTGTAGTTTTCCACTTTAGTTTGCCTTTAATACAAAACAACACAAAGCCAGCACTTTCTCTGTCTCTTTCCTAATTAACCCAGCTTTCTATTCCAAAAAAGAAAGATTTGGGGAAGAGGAAAATATGTCCATGATAGCTTATTGCTGGCTGGTCATAAAGTAATTTGTCATTGCAGACTAGGTTGTAGTTTAAGGATCTGTTATATTGAAGATAAAGAGTCCTTATATAGGTGTTCTGGAAACTAGATATAACATACAGATCTCTTGAATTGTTCTTTCTCTGAGTGCATAATGAATATGTGGAGGAAATGTGAATTCATAACAATTGGTCCCACTCCAGCACTCACAGAATCTGAAACAGCAGCCTAAGTATGTTTTTGCTTGTTATTGGAAATTCAGGGTTCTCAGTTAATACTCAGTGATTCCCCTTACAGATCATGTGCAAATACAGATACTTGGAAGTGGGCTAATGTGTACAGCCCTGTTTCTCCTCCTACTTTCCATTCAGTTCAATGTATATCCTTAAGTTTCATTTATTTCAGTGAGTCTCTGGTTTCTTTGATATAACTTTTGGTAATTAAATCTAGGGAATAATTATAAGGAGAAAATAATATTCTGTATATTACTATAGAGCTGAAGTTACAAATAGTCCTAACCAGAAATTTAGATCTCTGATCTTAGAATGTCATCATAAAATAATCATATATATTGACTTCAAAAACAAATATGTAGCTTTCCTTCACAGGCATCCTAAGACATCTCTGGTATCCTTGGAAGATTTCTTATACTGAATCTCTGGATGTCAGATTAGATTACAGGTAGTCCCCAGTTTAAGAATGAGTTCTGTTCCCAAGGTCTGTCTTTAAGTTGAATTTGTATGTAAGCCAGAACAGTATTATTGTATAGTACTGTATAAGTTGTATTGTATAAGGAACTTGAGCCATTGTGTATTTAACTCGAATCATTGTGTATTTAACTCAAATTTTGCTAAAATAGGCTCTGTTCTTAACTATGGGTCATCTGTAACCTGAGGACTACCTGTACTACCTAAGTATTCCAGGTTTACTAGTGGGAATAATAGCTAAAACTGCTTAATATACTTAAGGACCCATAAATAGTGTGCTTCTATGTCTTATGGATACGAAATCTAGCCATGATATTATTAAAACTCTGGAGGCTGCTTTCTTAGTATCTTAGTTTGAAGAACCAAGATGTTAATGTAGATTAAGGCAGAATTAGTTGAACTTTCTGTTCTTCCCCAAATCAGAACACAGTAGCAGGGGAGTCTGCTGACAAAAACAGGGTTGTGCTGACATGATGAAAGCCCCTCTCCTTTTGTTCATGGGACACTGTAGGCATGTCCCAAAAGGGTGGTGCTTGTAATAAGATGATGCTTTTGTCATTTTGTCAGTGGCATTTAACCCTCCAAACAATTGACGTATGAAAAATAAAGGGAAAAAAGAGGGCAAAGTTCTGGGATTAGCTTTGTGTATTTACCCTAGCTCTCATCTAAGCAAGAGATTATAATAGCGTTCACATATTATACCCTAAGCTATATTCTGATTTTGATTTAGGTTCTGAAGTAAAATTTATAAACTTAGTTTATAGCTTAGTATATAGTGTGAACAAAGCTAATTAAATAAATTCTAGTTAAACTAGTTTATGTAGCTATTGACAACTAATAGCGACAGTATAGCTGTAGCCTTGGTTCTGATTACAAACTGCTTTTGTAGTATCCCTTTATTTCAAAAATATTGTTTTTGTCCTGTTGAGTGAGGGGACCCTGTTTTTAGAAAAGGAAAAATAGAAACTGTTGCAAGTAATGTGTGCATATTCAGTAGACATTTATGACTTTACTAAGGAATGGGTTGGTATTTGATAAAACAATAGCAACTCATTGTCTAGGTAGATAGGTATCTCCTGTGTATAAATTAATTGTCCATTTAAAACTAAGAGTAGCCTATAATAATGTAGTTCACTTTATCATTCTTGAAATCCTGCTTATCTTACTCTGTTTTTCATACATGTACTATTAAAAAGAAAGACACCTCAAATGTAAATGCAAGACTGCTGTGATATTTACTTTGTGGGATAGTTCTGAACTATAAATTTTATTAGTTATATGCACATGGCTTTTACTAAAGCAAGGCTGACTTGTGACACAGTCAAATAGTGATTTGCATCCTAATCATTATTATAGAGTATGTGTTTTGTGTTTATTCCCAGGTGGCAGAAATGTGAAGCATGCACTATACCAAATCTTTATATGTATATCTAATGAATGAATGCTTTAAGACTGGCCAAAATATTTTTATTAGTGTATAATTAGAACAGATGTGTCCCTGCTACATGAGAATGCAATGTAAATGGCTTAAGCCTGCCATTTGTAATTTAACGAAGTGTAAAATGTTGCAGGAAAAGCGGAAAGCAGAAGAAGCTTTGAATGATCTCAAGCGCCAGTATGAAGCTGAAGTGGGTGATCTCCAAGTGACAATAAAGAAGTTAAAAATGGTATGTATCCACTCAATATGTGGTGAGTAGTTTATGGTTAAATACATCAAGGCCTGATTCTCTGTAAAAGTTCTGCTATCTTTGAAGTAATTAAGCAGATAGGAAGACCTGGGCTTCATCTTGTTGGAAAATGAACTTCACATTTTTTAAATCCCTGAGGTAACAGAATAAAGTTTCTGGAGGAGCCTAAGGTGGTGCTTCCTTAAAAAGGAAGGAATTGTGTTCTGTGGTGTGGTTATGAATCAGGACTAAATGGTCTTAACTGTGTCATTGTTCACCCTTTTTAGATGGTGATTAGTATTCAGTTATTTCAAACAGTGGGAGTTTAGCCCCTGTTGTACTTGGGAACTCTTCTGCTCATCCTTCAAAGTCTTGGATTTCTGTCTTGGACTTCTGTCCCCAAATCCTAGTCTGAATTACCACAAATAAGTGTCTGTTGACCTTAGTGAGCCTTTCTCCTGTCATATGCCTTTTGATTACTCACTTCCCTAATAGTAACAGTGTGAGGAGGAGGAGGATGATGATGATGATGATGATGATTTTGTATTATCAAACCATCTGTTAAATCTAAACAGAATTTGGTCAGCTTGTAGGTAGGGATTTATCTTATAGCCTGTAATGAGCAGGAATTCCTTTTGCTGAGCAGAGTGAGAAATCTTTTTGTGAATTGAAGATTAGTTAGTTCTTTGCTTTTCAGTTATTATTACTAGCATGCCATAAATTATTTGTATGGATGATAATTTCTGAGTTATCATCTATATAATAGTTTTTTGCTTTTCAGTTATTCATTACTAGGATGCCATAAATTATTTGTAGTGATGATAATAGCTCAGAAAGTTAATGACTAGTTTACTAGTGGACTAGTACCATTTCATGTTACTAGTTTTTAAACTAATAAAGCTAGTTTGCTAGTATTTAAAGTTGTCCTCAAATAATTTATAAAGAAAACAATTGAACCCTTGAGTATTTTTGTGAAAGTTTTGATTCCTTTTGCATTATAATGAGGCAGTCAGAGAATTTTTTTTATAACTACTATACTTTCTTTATTGTTTACAGCTTGAGGAACAATCCAAAAACATTAATCACAAAGAAGATTTGGCAGTACTAAAAAGGAGGATACATGATCTGACCTTGGTATGAGCTACTTAAAATTTCCTCATTCAGCCTGTCAGTCTTAACATGACTAGTATTTTTGTTGCCTCTTCTATTTGCCTGGCTTGGTGGAAGATGCCATTTTCTTAAACTGTCAGGGAGTTCAAATGAATGGCTAGAATTTTGGGGAGGGAAGAAATGCTTTTCTAGGTATATGGTGTGTTTAGCTCCATATATTAACAACTAGTTAGTGGGCAGGCAGTGTGTGTAACAATAAAAAAACAGACTGGCTTTTAAATGCAGACATGGCCCTTAGATGCAGATCTGTTTTTCTACTAGTGGAACAGTAAGATGGAATTCCTATCTATTCTGTGGTCTTGTGCATGCCATAAAAATCTGTTCTAGGGTGTTTTGAAGAGCCTCAAACAGATTTTGGGGGAAAAGATGGAGGGTACAAATGGGAAACTAGTGCAGAAGTAATAAACCCATTTATTTTTAACTGGTGGCTGTTCAAGGAGTTCACAGGTTCAAGTAATCATGAAATTATGTTTACTTTCATGAATTGTTACTTCATGAATTACTACTTCTTGAATGTTTCATTTTTTAAATTTCTGTTTTTTAGGAAAATCAGAAACTTAAAAAAGATCTTATGGAAGCACAGACAAATATAGCTTTCCTTCAGAGTGAATTAGATACTTTGAAAAGTGATATTGCAGATCAAAGTTTGAATTCAGAAAGGTAAGGGAATATGTCTAGAGGTATACAGTAAGTTGTTGTTGATAAAAAGCAAACTAATTCTCCCTAAACAAATTTTCTTTGCAGGGATCTAGACATGATCAGAGAGTACACTGAAGACAGAGATAGCTTGGAGAGGCAGATAGCAATATTACAGTAAGCTGCTAAATAATTCTCTTTTTAAAATGTTTTCATTTATGAATTTTGATTTGAATAGTTAGGCATCTCCAATGGGGAATGAACAGCTTTTTTTTTCCCCTGTGAAAGGTTTATCTGGTACCCTGATCTGTATTTTAGTCAACCTGTCTGATAGATGAAGCATGGTCTCGATGTTAGGCTATCATTTGACATTACAGGAAACTGTTAACATCTTTAGACGCATTCCTTTCTTCAAAAATAACATTTTATCATTTTTATTTATTTTTAACTTTACATTGCTTGCCACCAAAGTCTATAATCTTAAAGGTTTTTAGGTCACTCAACTATAAATAGGTCATGTGTTTTATTTATTTATTTGTATGCTCCTTTCCAAAAAAACAGTGGTCAAAGTACCTGAAAATACAGTATAACAATATAATATTTTGTTCATCTCATGCTGATTTATACCACTAGTACCCAGTCTGAATGTTCTTATAAGGCACTTCAGGTTAAATGAACTGGAGGAATTGAACTCATCTGCAGTAAAATGGATCAGTTCAAATTGAATAACTGTCTGAGAACTGAGGTGATTATTGGAAGCTTGTTCCAAGAACATGTGACTGCTAAGATGGCTACCTGGAATGAGCCTTTTCTGTATTAGCTGTTTAAGCTTTGAAATATCCCCTCTGGAAAAACCTACTTGGAACTTATTCTGTGGTCTTTGTGGTGCACTATAAGCAGTGGATATTATTACAGCTGTGCGCTCTTTTGGCTTCAGTTTTGAAGTGGTGCTTTGCATTGTGAACCCATTTGTGACTCATTAAAGCAGCCATGTTATTTTCTAGAATTGTATAGATACTTCTGCAACTGTGCAGTCTTGGACATGGCTGCTTTAGTGAGGCAGGTGCATTATGTTTCCACACATACCAAAATGCTTCTTCACAACTTAGTCCGAAACATTCCAGAATCCTAACACTTATTTTAGAAATAAACAAATACCATTTTTGCTTTTTCCTATATACTGAACTTCATGCAAGTTGAAGTATTTTGAGAGGTTTTCATTCTTCTCAAAAGTTTTATCTTGGTCGTCTTGCTGTGATGGCTTTTGGATTCCAAAGCATTTGGTTTTAAACATGGGAGAACTTTACAAAATGGGCTCCCCACCTTCTGTGTGAAATAATACAATCAGATCTGCTGCTTCCGAGTTCTTTAATGTTGTGCTGGTTGAACTCTTATGTACAGACAAAAAGTAGGACTTAGTTACAGCAAACTGCTCAGAGCTATCACTAAATTGTTTTACTACTCTATGCATTTTAACATTTATAACTATGCCATCCTTTCCTAACCTGATGCCTTCTAGATCTGAATTACAATTCCCATCACATCCAGTGAGCATGTCAGACTATATGAGAATGATGAAATTTGTAGCCTAACATACCTGGAGGATCTCAGAATCAGGAAGCATGATGTGAAAGTGGCTTGATGATGTTTGTTAAAATTCTCATCTTTTTGTAGTATCTTATCATGCATGTGCAGTATTTTGATTTAACTTCCTGTTAATTTTAACTTGGGCCTGTTAATATTTTAGTGAACCTTCAGATTAGCCAAAAGACAGTGGGTGGGGATGAAAAACCAGCAGTTCTTTAGCTCTTCTCAAATAAGCAAACATGGCGTCTTCATGATTATAAGAAAAATGATTTTTTTTTCCTGCTTTGGGGTCAGTGGTGCCCCTACATATATAAACCATTATAAGATTAAACATAATAGGGAGTGTTGTTAATGAAAGAGAGCCAGTTTGGTGTAGCGGTTAAGGCATCAGGCTAGAAACCCAGAGACTGTGAGTTCTGGTCTTGCCTTAGGCATGAAGCCAGCTGGGTGACCTTGGCCCAATCACTCTGTCAGCCCTGGGAAGCAGGCAGTGGCAAACCCCTTCTGAAATCTTGCCAAGAAAACTACAGGGACTTGTCCAGGCAGTCACCAGGAATTACAACTGACTTGAAGGTGTATATACACACACACAAACACACACAGAAAAGCAGACATTTAGTGAACCACTCTACAATTTTCCTAGCCTTTACTGAAGGCACCTGGAACCCCTTTAATTCCCTTATTTTTTGTTGAATTTCTTAACACCAATTTAAACTGCAAATGCTAGGGTTGACTTCTTTTAATGCATTTTTTCCCCTCCTCTGGCTTGATTTTAGGTCAGCTAACAGGAAACTACATGACAGTAATGATGGCTTAAGAAGTGCATTAGAGAATAGCTGGAGCATATACAACAGATCTCTGGTAGGTTTGAGCATTGTATAGTCAACCTGTTTGATTAATTAATATGTTAATCAGTAAAACACCTAAACTGGAGTCATTGAAATAAAATAGACTTTTTGGATTTGTGTCAAAACAATCCTGTGCTTCTTAACTTGGAAGTAAGCCCTGTGTATTTAATGGGGCTTATTCTCAAGTAAATGTACATAAGGTTTGACAGGACAATTCTGTGCCTATTTATTCAGGAAAAAAAAATCCACTGAATGTGTCTCTAACACTTATTTAGAATTGCAGCCTGAGAAAAAGTTTAGATTATTGCATATAATATTGCTTATTTATTTTATAGTCTTGTATTGTTTTTTTCTATTTGTAAAAGAGGGTAGAATGCACATATAGAATTATTTTTCAATTCCATAAGACAAATATTTTTAGGATAACAATATACCAAGGAGATGCTTCATTTGTATCCTTTCTCCACCATTAGACACATAATGATCCCATACAGTTTTGTTTTCAAATTTTCCAAAATAATAAAGAGATAGCTGTAATCAAGAAGAGTGTTTTTGTAGATAAAGAGATTATGCTTAAATCAACTTATTCCAGGAGTTCTAAAAAACTTTCTAATTCATGCATTTATTTTTCAGCGACTAACAAATACTTCCCCTGGAAACACAATGCCCAGAAACAGTCCCAGATGTGGTGATGGCCTTTCTCCCCAAAATCCACAATATGACAGGTAGAATTGATTATGTCTTTTTAAATTATAGGGCTTGAAAAACAGGATATATTAAGCTATATTCCAAAGATGAGTCAAGCAGTTTTCTGCCTGTCAAAAAGGTTGGATCCTCTCCAGTTTGGTCTCAGGTTCAATCTCTGACAGCCTGAGGTAGGATTGAAATAACGTCTGATTGAAGTCTTGGAGTGCCACTGCCAGTGTTGACAGTATTGAATTTGATGGACTGATGGTCCAACTTGATAAAAGCTAGCTTTCATTGTTGCCATGGATGATTAAATAATAGGGTGTCCCTGAACACATTCTGAGTCTACAGTTCTTATTTCCATTATCAGGATTGAAATGAGTTCATGATCTTTCCATCCCTGGTGGTTCCTTTCTTTACCTCAACAACCTGATTTAGGTGTGGAAAGCTGTTTTGGTTTATATAGGAGTCTGTCTTTTCATTATTCTGTGCCACACAGATAGGAGCCAATTGGTATCACTAATCTTCCGTAAAATGATTACAGCTACTAGAAGTTGAAGGACAAGAGTAGTGTTAGTCTGTGGTACCCAAAAATCAAAAGGAGTCTGGTAGCACCTTTTCACACCTACAGGCAGTGCAGTGGAGTGACCAGACTGATATAGGATTTAAATTGGGTTGAGATGGGGTGGAGAGAAAAGGAGAGTGTTTGAGTGGCTTGAATTGTAGGTGACAACCAGTGGTGTCTTTTTGTCTGTCTTCTAATAGGTCCTTCCTGGAAATCAATCTGGATGTATTGATTTGTCTATTGGTCTTATTGAGTGGGTAATTCAATCTCCTGAATGCATAGTTTAATTCCATCAGTTGAGCATCTCTGTCAAATGGGTCAGAACAAATGTAATGTAAAGCCTGGCTATAGATGATAGATTTGGTGGCATGCTCAAGATGGAAACTAGAAGCAAGCAGGGATGTATGGTGATCTGTAGGTTTCCTATACTGTATAACATTATGTTTATGGTAACTTTAAGATACAGGATTGGCTGCCTGCCCTATGCTGCTCTCTAGTGGAATTCAGTGGTCATCTAACAACAAGAGGCATCTCTGTTGCCAGATGATTGTTGGGAACAGCTGTATTGGAGTTTATCCCTGTGAGGTTTGAATGAATTAAAGTTAATGTTTCTCTTTCATTAATAATTTTTGAATGAGAGCCTGGGATTTCTACTCTCAGGAATAGTTTTACAAATTTAATATTTGGTATTATGTATATTAGCTAATTTAATAAGGCAGCTTCAAGAAATACAAATTTTCTCCCAGTTTTCAGAGCAGAGCATGCTTTTTTAAAAAACGGTTCTTTGATTAAAAGATATGTGCCTTATTCCATGTTAGCTACAGAATTTGAAGGACATTTTCTAAAACACTGTTTCTTTTTATACACCTGAAGGCTGCTGTGGAAAGCTACCCAGCTGAGAAGTTGAGATGTAAATGCTTTAATGAAATAAGTACATAAAAAATAAACTAAGCCTCTGGTACAGTACTATTGTATTTTATTTTAATGTTTTCATAGCACTGTACCTCAAGGGATGTTTAACTATGATTATTAGACTTTGAAATCATTCAGACTGTTGCAGTGTAATGAATCAGGATAGGTAGACTTTTATATGCCTTAGTTACAACTTCTATTTTAACATTGGTATGTAGGTCTGTTCTCCCTGCCTCAACATAGCAACACAATTATTCATATACTCCATTTATTTTCCCATATGAAATATAGTTGGCTAAATGTCTAGAGGGTCACTTAGCATGCCTTCTCAAATTTGTTCCATAGCAATAACCCTGTGAGGCAGGCTGGGTTTAAAGAGTGACTGCCCCAAAGGCTAGGTTTTTGTGGCTGAGGGTGGGCTTGAACCTTACCCATTACATTGCATTGGCTTTCCAAAAGTTATTTCTCTTTATGTTCCAATCAGGCTATCTCATTCATCCTATGTGGATGAAGACTATGATTCCCTCGCACTTTGTGATCCAATGCAGAGGATAAACTGTGAAGTTGACAGCTTGCCTGAAAGTTGCTTTGATAGCGGCTTGTCTACATTAAGAGACTCAAATGAATATGATTCAGAAGTGGAATCCAAGCATCAAAGAGCATCTCAGAAAACAGAGTGTCGGCAGGAAAGCTTCATGGGTGATGCTTCTGATACAGATGTAAGCTACTGACTATTAACCACACATTTTAAAATGTTCAGACTGGTGTTCAAAAGCATAATTACTTCCTGCTAGTCAGAGAGTGAACTGGAATTTCATATAAGATAGGAATGCACGTGAGTTATAAATATGTAAAGGAATTGCATGTTTTAAGTGTAATGTACAATTGTATTTCTGGGGTTACTTTTGCTAGAAGAGACTATCCTTGCTTATTATCCATTGTAATCCCATCCTGTAGATTGATATACGGAAAAAATCCATCTTAATCTACAGGAAAGAGACTATCTAAAATTTTAATAAATAGAATGGAATAGTGGAAGAGCCTACTCTGGGTGGATTTGTAAATGCCACCTATACAAATGAAAAAAATAATCTTATATATCTGAGAGGTATCAACTGAGAGTTGATTTGGATTATGGCAGGAGATAAGTGAAATAAATATCTGGCTATCAGCTCCCTCACATGCCTGCCAGATGCCTTGAGTTTTTCCCCTGCTTGTCAGCTGATGTTTTCTTACTTTTTCCTGCAAGGAAGCAGCTGAAAATAGCTGTGTTTTCATTGGCAATAGTGTTTTGCTTTCCACCCCACGCTAAGGCAGGTGAGTTACACTTGCTGTTTTGTGCAGGTCCCAGATATACGAGATGAAGAGGTATACAGTCCTGATGATGTAAGTACAGTATTGGATTGGAAGCCCAGCCAGCCAGTCAGTCGAAGCAGTTCTGGAGCTTCAACAAGGAAACCCATCCCTGCAATCTCTCCACAGGTATTAACTGTCGAGTGCCTTTTCTACTCTTAAAGCCATAATGTCTGAGATTGAAAGGGTACCCTTAGGAACAACCAAAACTTCAGCATGTCCAGTGGTATCCTTGACACTTTTCAACTCAGATCCTTCTTCCCCTCCCCATATGCATTTTCATTTTTCACTATCCTTTTACTTTCAAAAGGTATTTTCCATATGGGATGAAGGAGCAGCTAGTGGGAGTCTGAAGCTTCTTTTGCAGCACAGAACTAATCATGTTATTCTTTTGATGCAGACTACAGGCCATAGTCTAATACAGTTAAGAACAGAAACTAGGTCCACACATTGTCCTAAGCCATAATTTATTGAATAAATAACTGTGACTAGATACAGCCAGAACCAAACAAGCCTGACTTAGCATAAGCAACCAATGCTATGGATCCTTATTTAGGTGTAAGCTTCACTGAATTTATTTTTACTAGCTACCACGTTATTACAGTGGAACCTCGGTTTACGAACTTAATTCGTTCCGTGACTCTGGTTGCACCCCGAATTGGTTGCAACCTGAAGGAAATTTTCCCATAAGGTTCAATGTAATTAACGTTAATCCGTTCT